ATGAAGAGAAGAGGAATAAGCTGAGATTTTAGTGAGAGATAGAAAGTGGCACAATTTGAGTAATGATAAGTTACAAAGAAAGTCCTAATGTACAACGGTCAGAAGGATCACCAGAAGTCTACTTGGTATCAATGTATACCATATTTTTGAGACGAAAATCTCGATTTGTCTACACTTCGGATTCTCCCACATCTACCTCAATTTTTGCTTTTTGTGACTCTGTCTATTTAGTCAACCGCCGAATGTCATTGGTCGCCAGCGATGTTTCTCAGAATTAATTCAAATCAACCGGCCTCTTCACCGAGCTGGTTTTACCTTATGCCCATTTGGCTTGTTTTTTGGTTCCCGAAAGCAGGTTTCGCCTAGTAAACATGTATCGATGGCTGCGCCTACCACTCCGTTGTGTTCTTGCCTGCCGCGCCCGGGCGTAACGACCTGATTATGCCACAAATGTCATGCTCCATGCAAGTTGGAATAAGGACTTATTATTAGTGTGTTTAACGAAGGACTCAACGAGAACGATTATGAATGAGTGGGGTAGCCCCTACGTCTTTTGAGAGCTCGGCACTGGAGAATGCTGCAGCGTTGCTATTAAAAAAAGACCGACAGCCTAGCATTGCTTGAGAGGAAATTGAGGCAAATGATTGTGTTTTTCTGCCTGTGGATGAGATGCGGCACGGTCAGGGCATAAAGAATTCGGCCCGAGCGCTCTCTTCGCACGTTAGTGTGCATTACCGAGTCCCAAGGACCACCAAGCAGGTTCAGATTGCTTTGGCTGAAGAAGGTTCTTTCAGGACAGATATCCCAGTGTTTTTGGAGCTTTCATTGGAATGGCACACCGTTCACAAATTTGGATCTCGGAATTCGTAGATGCCAAATATCTTCTTCGTCAACGTCCATCGACAGTGCAAGCTTTTCTACTTTGATGGCGTGACTCCCCATCCCCCTCATTCTAAGCGACAGAGTTTATGAAGTGGCTACCTTTCTTCTCGATTATTTCACCCCCTCCGACCTTCAGTGTACCCATGGTTACTCGGCGATTTACAACGCCGACAAACTTGCCTGGGTATTCTGTTTGTTGCCAGCACACCAAAGCCCCATAAACGGCTTGAAATCAGCGGCATTTGTGCACATTTGCTGATTGTTTTGACGTGAATGCTAGCTTGGGAGGCTCAGACGGAGAACTAAGCTGAAAAAAACACCGTTACTACAATTGGCGAAGGGGATGAGAACCTTGGCGGTAGCAGCACCTGACTGCGAGCGGTAAAGCGGGATGCGAACTTCCGCACGGCTTGAAATCAGCGGCATTTGTGCACATTTGCTGATTGTTTTGACGTGAATGCTAGCTTGGGAGGCTCAGACGGAGAACTAAGCTGAAAAAAACACCGTTACTACAATTGGCGAAGGGGATGAGAACCTTGGCGGTAGCAGCACCTGACTGCGAGCGGTAAAGCGGGATGCGTGCGAACTTCCGCCCTCCAATTTGCCACTACCCGAATACATACAGATGCCTTAACCCAATCCACCTGCTATCCTTATTCCTTATGTTGAGTTCCGGGGTTCTACGGCTCCAAATCCCCACTTGTAATTGTGTTCACATTACTAAATTACGTCCAAAGTCGATCTGCTCCGAGATTCTCTCTCGGCAACGCATTCTGCCTCTTTTCGGACCAAGATCACATTACATTTTATTCGGCTTTTGATAGGATACTTCGACAGGGCGTCGATCAATCCTGGAAAATACCAGACACAGACATGCTTTGTAAGATTTCGTCCTGCTCTTTACACAAATCAAGTATCCACACTTAACCTCTGTTGATTCCGCTGTAAATCAACGGCGAACAGCGGTAACTTTTTTCTGACTACTCCTGGGTAACGTGACTTACACCAGTTTATGATGATGCCGTCTGTTTGTTTGCTGCTCGTTTTCTCTGTTTCGTTACTACTTATGTTCTGCTTATCCTTCGGTAACTGATGTCCATATTTTGTTGCCCGTCCGTCATCGCTTGTATGTTCGTCTCAGTTGTACCTACTTTCAAGCGTCCACCCCGACAGAAAACCTGACTGACCGGGTGACGAAACCGAAGTTTCCGAACGGTAGGCGTGCGTGCCATCTACTACACCAACCGGATGCCCGGATGGTCTTACTATTTTGCATTACCTATCTATTGCACCTGTCAGATAGACCTTGGTGAAATTTGTTTGAAACGGACGAAACCGCAAATCTGATTTGCCACGTGACACGAGCTGCCGCGCCACGCCACCAACCGGAAGGCAGTCCTTCACCTCCCAACTTTACTGATTCTCGGGCCGGCATCTCTCTATACGGCCAACTTAGACTGTCACACTGGCCCAATATGTAAGTTTGTACATCGTTTAGTACATACTTGTTGTTGCTTCCTGAAATCACTGCTGCCTCAGTGACTGTTTTCCGCTTCTGCCGACTGCGTCATTAGCGAATGTACGTTTGCTTAATTCATGATGCTTACTAATCCGTTTGCCTGCGGAACCAGCTCCTGTCAGCCCCCAATACATCATCTGCTGCCAACGTCTGTCTACTGGCTGCGAACAGGGCATAATATAATGACGGCAACTATCCTGCCCGGATCTTACAAACTCTTTCTGCTCGATTATTGCCGAGCCGGCTGTTGTTTCGTCCACACTCATGGAGCACTTCATGGTAAAGCAAATAACAGCCTACGCTACCACGCTGTTAAACAAGTTCCAAACCTCAAACTCTCCGCACGCTGAGCGCCCTATACCTAGTGTAATAACAGCCGTACAGTTTTTCTGAAACATTTCTTCTGGTTAGGCTCTCTGCTAAACCCACATACTCATCAGGACGAAGTTTAGATATTCTACAGTTCGAACATCTCCCCGAAGTTGATGTCACACGTTTATCCATATTTAATTGCAAATTTGAAACTAGGATTTGGCCGCCGAACTGCCCCGTCCCATTTAGCTCATATGCTCATGAAATCACAATATGCCAATTACATCGACCATTCACATCAGCCAACATACTTGGTTGGGTGTCCCTAGTGTGACCGTTTCTACCTCCAACCCGTACGTACTTTCGGGATTAATTGCGTTTTCCTGTCTCTGCAGCACATTTTCCATGGAAGCTTTTACGCTGAGAGACGGCTCCCACAGCTGTTCGCCCCAAATCTATATGCTGAATTGGCAAGTGATCAGGATCTGCGATCTTGTGGTTCTTGTTCCTGCGTACATTGACTGAAGAAACTGGACCTCCTGGAAAATGCTTACAGTGCCCTCTATCAACTGTATGTTGAAGAAAAGACAGACGCTGTTGGCTTAAATGTTACGAGAGTTGCCTTAAGATTACGTCGCCTGAAATACCTTGGTACAGATGTCGGATGCACGTTGAGTTGAACTCGCTTGTTTTACCACACCACGGAGCTGTAGGGGAGCGCGCTGCCCGGTTCAGTTGCGCTAGTCTGTCGACGATGGCCTCCTTCTTCCGCAGTGAGGAGATGCAGCTGTCGCAGGTTTTCCTGCACACAGATATCGCATATATGTGCATATCTGAGCTTGGAGAATTAGGGCTAGTCCAATTTCGGGATGTAAGAGTTCCTTCGGATTCATTTTCTAAAATAGACTGCGGCTGGAACTAGCGCGTTTCAGCGGAAATTTGTCAATGAAGTTAGAAGGTGTGATGAGATGGAGAGGAAACTTAGTAAGTGTGCGTCGACTTTTATGTTACGATTTTCGAAGGATTTTTAGAAAAGGAGATCGAAAAGGATAGTTTTCCTATCCTAGACACGGGAGAAAATCCAGAGGCCCCCGCGCCACGCGAGATAATAGATCTAGAGGGCATATTTGAGAAATTGGAAAACGAACTGAAGGAAGTGAATTCCAGTGTTGAAGAACTAACAAAGGCTCACTTGAAGCTATGTGAATTAAAACAGATTTTGCGAAAAACGCAAGGTTTTTTCGAAGAGGTAGGTTACCAGTTTCCAGTTTTGAATCTTTTCACGTCTTACGAATGTCTGAAAAGAATTGACTGCATACGGTTTCGTTGTAAATTTGCCTGTCGTTTGCTGCAAAAACGTTGAAATATGCTGGTGATTTCAGGCCTTGGTACACAAACTGCAAAGATGTTAAATAAAAAAACTCAGTTATATCAGGGCCCACAGCATTGTGCCAGCAGGGGTTCCTAAAATTCTTGAAAAGTCATCGAACTCCACAAGGTTTTTCTGGGATTTTTCGTCCACTTGGAGTGACAGTTTGTTGTCGCAGCAGGAATTTCAGTGGAACCCTCCTAATGAGCTAATGGGTGATACAGTTCTGATGTGATATTCCGCAAAGGTCACGGGGACACAACAGTTTTGACAATTCAGGCTGACTAGTTAGTAGCAATAAATGGCGATCCGTGTGAATGGGTCGTTACCGTAGGTTAGACGCCCTCCCTGTGCACATGCCGTGCTCCGCAGGACTTTGTATTTTCTAGTCCCGTAGCTATGAACTGCATTGTGAGGGTCTATGTTTCCTCACCACTTTTCTTTTACTGAGTTGAGAGGATAGGGGTCCTTCAAAGTAAGTTGAGTGTGATTTGGGAGTCATGGTCCCACCGTGCTGTTGACACAACTTTTGTGCGCTTCTTGAGGGCTTAGCCACATGAGCAAGAAGACAGTTTTTCGCTTCTAGACGGGAGCTATCGCATTAGCAGCACAGCTTGCGGTTAGTGTCTAGTACCTTCACTCTAAGTATCTCGAAGTAAATTGTTCATAGCTTATCTAACTGGCTGCATGTGAGAGTACATTGATCGAGAGTCCTATCAACTAGTTTGAACCATCAGAGGCTTACATGGAGCTATGGTAGCAAAAACGACTCGCATGGAAGCCGGCATGCTACTGCAGCTAAATCAGCTAATCTAAAGTGAACCTGAGAGAGTGTACCTTACATTACATTGCTGGTGAGCTCTGGGAAGAGCTAAATTTGAACCCAATGCTTCATCACTATGGCGTGGACTAACCAAAATTATTGCCCCGGGACGGCAGGACGACTGTTCAAACGGTAGTAATGTAAGCTTGTGTGCTACAAATTCCGCAATCACTTAAAACAAAATTCGTAGAAGTCTGTTGGAAGCTATCAATTGGCTTGAACAAGATGACACTGAATGGGTATCACACCAGCTTTGAACAAGATGCCGGTGTAATATATCGTTTGTTTTAAGCTTCACTATAACATCTAGCTTCTGCTATACGGTTCCATACACCAGAGGCCGTCCTGGATAAACCATTTCGGTTGTCATTGTTAGTCCGACAGCACATATGTTGGGACCGAATTCGCCTCAGATCATCTGTTAACCCTTTGTGATTGCAGATGTGTTCGCATTCTGGGAAGCCCCGCAGTTCCACTGATACTGGAATTACTTGAACCTGGAACGTCCTTCGGACTCGGAAGTTTATGCCTGCATATGTTCTCTCAAGCTTCACCGAGCTCCTTGTCCCGGTGACCTCACCTGCCACGGACCCAAATTAAGCACCATTTCCTAGTGTTGCGGGTCAGTAGTTGACTGCCGCTCGTTCTTACAGTAAAATCATCCGGAATGGCTTGTTTCATCAGCTCCACAGCCGTGCAACTCGTTTAGGAGCCGAGAGATTGATTCTGAAGCCAAACCGTTTTTTGAACTCATATCTAATTCATCGTCAGACTTCATTTCTTCTAACGATGTTCAGTTCTTCAGGAGCAGTCATCTCATCAAATGACCGGCTGGTATTTCTATAAGGGAGACTATTCACAAGGTCGCCAAAAAACTTCGACAGCCCACGACCGGTTTCGCCCTTCTTGGGGTTCATTACGTATATACAGTCCCCGAGTATCCGTCAACCTCATGTTCTACCTGAACCCGAATTTGACGGTTTTCGAGAAAAACACTCATGTGCAAATCAATGTGGTTTTCACGAGTGACTTAGCTGAATCTCTCGTTTATGATATTCTAATGCCAACTGAAACATGAGGTGGCCTATGTGCAGCACATTCAGTTGTAGAAGACCATAAACGAGAGATTCAGTTGAGTCTCTCGTTAAAATCTAATTGATTTGCAAATGAGTGTATTTCTCGATGGCTGACTGGTTTATTTGGGCTTCGCTGTTTAGGCTTTGTTCATACCGTTTCCTAGTGCCTTTTATCACAGAAAGTGACTTGCATGTGGTTGCAAAGGTTAACTTTGAAATTCCGATCATTAGAAAGCATGGTTTAACTGAATTACTTTTTCGGTCGACTTTCTCATAGTTGCCGGGGCATTTCGTCCACAGGCAGCGGGCTGATTTTCAGATGGAGTTAGTAGGCGAATTGGTTCAGCTAATTTGCAACTGCCTTCTTCGGAATAGTTTTCGGTTCCTGGCTGATAGTATGTTTTTATCTGTTCCGTAAGGGTATGAGCTTTCATACCCAACAACTCCAGGAAACACTTGCTTTATGGTTTTGACCTCACTGCATACTTCATAGGGTGGCGTTCACGGGGGACTTAGTAATGGGTAAAAAAAAGCCGAAATAGGCTACACAGTCGCTTCCTTTCATTATATCACTTGTTCGTGGCAGCCTCCATTCCAGTTTGCATTCCATGCAGATGAGTCACACACGAAGCTTTATTCACCACACGGCCTCAACTTTTCTCCGTTGGTGCTCATAGGTATTTTAATCCGTCTCTTTTGTGTTACTCTGAGTGTCGTCCATTTCTGTTGTGCGTTACTCTTCGGTGTTGTACATTGATACGAATTAGTGCGACGCTTTACCGACTGAACGCCTGTCCTTGCCTTCAAATGATACGCCTCTGCGGCGGCTGACTCGCACACAGGCTCTGCATGACCCAGCTCTGGCGGAAGAAAACGTCGGCCTTCTTGGGGGCGAAGGAATACCTGCTGCAGGATTACGGCTAGGGTGGGTCGATCGTAGCGTTGTAGTTCGTCATTTTCCTGTTGACATTTGGGGTGTTTGCACGTGTTATCTACCGTAGTTGCATTCACTGCCTGTCACTAACATTTAACACAGTCATTGCACGGCTTGTGTTTGCATGTGCCCTTTTCACCATTTCTTTTTTCAACGTCATTGCTTGCCGCTCGCGGATTCTAGGGAGAGGCTGATCACTTGCTAGATACTCATGATGACATCACCGCGCCGGAGAGAGGAGCATTTGGAGCCGATGGGCCTCAACCTAAAAGGCACATAGAGTAAGTTGAAGTGAGCCCGACTCCTTACGTCTTGTTATGGCCCCTGTACTAGGGTTGAAGTATTTTGCGTACGAAGATGCATTCGTGTTAAAACCGCTAACACCGCGACGTGTTTGTCGGTGTACTGTAATGAGTACATCTAATGCAAAAGCCCTAGAATCAGGCAACTGTTGTTGCTCTATTGATTTCTCACCAGGTTTACTGCATCGCACAGCTTCGTTGCGCTAATTACGATCGTTTATCGTGCTTCTTGTCAAGACATCCTTGCTAGTGGCTATGTGGAGCTTGCAGAATCGATTTGTCACAATGAATTTTTCTCACACTCCATGCACGATCAACTTGCATTTGTTTTCGCATGTATCATTAGACGCCACTCTAAGCGATTTGCTGCATTTCTCAAGTACGCTTTCCTAATCACGCCTTCGTATATGTTGTACGCACAATCATTTTTAACAACCTAATGTGTGGTGTGCACTTGGGTGTCTGTGGTGTTCTGTTGACTCCACTGCTAGAACATCTTAACGTGCAAGTTTTTTGTATGTTGTAGCTCATTGGCCGGTGTCATTCCACGTGATCGTTTACCTGCTTTCGAACGTATGCTGTGGAGGGCCTGTCGAGGCAACGTATTTCTCAAACAGGCAGAAATAGACGAACCACTTGAAGATCCGACAACGGTTAGTGCCGTATACCATTTTATTATACGATATGTTGGACCACTCCTTTTGTTTTCGTTAAGTTTTTTTCAGGAGTAAGACTCCTCTCTATTGTAATTTAGACTTTCATATGCCCATAAACAGCTCAGAACCAGTCGATGTATCAATGCAACCAACTCACTTGTTCGGTGTTTAGGTTTCGTACTGCGATGGTTCGGTGGCTGAAGCGCTGTCAGAGTCAATGTTTAGTTCTAACTATGGTCCCTCCGATCAGGAGCTCGTATTCTAATCTTTGTTCCCTTGGACCAGTAGGTGCATACGGTATCGAAACTCGAGAGTGAATGCAGTGGCGGTCAGGAATGTTTTTTTTTTTGCACCTGCAACTCACCACAATCTATTCTGGCGAAGGTAACTTCCGCAATCTAATCCTGACCGTCCTCTGTCTGCGCTGTCTTTGTTAATTTCCTCAATGATTCGCGCAGACTTCCACCTACGATGTTTAGTTATCCTCCCGTCATTGTTGGCGGAAACTCTCGACCGTACTTTCTTGCACGATTTCTAGTCAACCAACCGAACGGAATTCCGTCAATCACTGAATAAGCTCAAGAGTCGCAGTAAGACCCGCCGTTTAATTTTTCTTATAAAATGTTAGTATATGGAGGATCATAACTCACCTCCCGTAGCCCTATTGAAGTCGATCCTAACAATATGGTACGTTTAGTACTTTCTGAGCTGCATCACAACGTAACTGTCCTCATTTTCCCGGAGTGGATCCTTTTTCACGTAGATCATCTTGGGATGGCTCAGCTCCAACAGTTTTGCACATTGATGCTATGCGGAATGTGCTAATTGGGTGTCTTTTTCTGCTTAAAAAAGCGAAGTAAATTTGATCATATTTAAAAGGGTGGCCCTAATGGCTAGGGAGAGAAATCTGCTCCGCGCACTCCTACAAATGCGGCTTTCAGTTAAATTAATTTGGGTACAGTCATTTCCAAGCGTTTTCATTACATTTTATATCAGCACCATTCCCAGTCTTTCCTTTTGTTTTTTTCAAACAGTGTTTTCCATGAATATGGCCTCTGACTTGTTGATGGGCTACAGCATATGTAAAATGTCACCCCCTAACCTGAGATCGAAAAGTCCGATCTGATTAGATCACACGCTTTCTGAAAATCATATGTCAAACGCCCTGCATTCATATGCGGGAGCTACACTTTGTTGTTCCTCAAAAAACAGTTGTTCGGTGAACTCACCTTTTTCGGTAGCAATAATCCTTATCCGTCAAACGTCGAGCACTCTGAGCGCAACTGCTGGACAACACTAACCCGTACGATGTAACGAGTCTGAGCACAAACCCATTAACTCGAAGCCGCTGTATCACTCGACGCAACCAGGATGAATTTCAGAGTTGTAGACCCAACCTTTGTGGTCGCTGGTTTCTAATGATCCTTCTTGCCTTGACTCTATCTCTGATGGGATTGTGTTGGAAGGCCCGTCTGTTTTCCTCTGAGTTACCACTTCATTTAGTCCAACAAATGCTAGCGCCGTTGTGGGCTGTTAGTGAAAGAGTATTTGTTTGGTGTAAGTCTATATGTGCATATCCGCGTGTTTTGTGCTTTGTCCCTCATCATCATCATCATCGACAGCATGACATCAGTGCTCAACACCAATGCTTCACTGCCGTACACCCATGATTTATTTGAAAGCCTTATTGTAAAGAAAAGAATAAAGGTGGACGGGGAAGGGACTTAGTGCTAGCTTAACACAATCATTCCGAGGTGCCTACACCTCCAGACATTCACTCAGGCAATCTGGATAGAAACTGACAACAAGAACGCCACTGACATCGGTTGGCAGCCATATCTTGTAGTGTCTCCAACCAGGCACAGTGAGGATTACGCGGTCCCCATCCCGGAAGGCGAGTAGCACCGACAGCACCCAAGCGTTTCGTGATCTCCTTCATACTCCTCTACCAAGTCAAGGGTTGGCCACCTCTCTGTTTACGCCACTTCGAATTGGGCATGGAAAACAGCACTCTCTTCGGCAAACGATGGTTCGGCATACGTAACACATGTCCCAACCCGATATGTATTGGTTCCTGTTCTGTGTCGGATGTCATGTCGTTGCCTTTGGGAGCCAAGCGGCGCAAGGATACCGTTTGCCGTGTTTGCCATCTGGACGAACTATGTGGGCGTAATGTGGATTACAAGAGCTGAGTTCCACTTCCTCTACCAGGGAGTCATATTTAGAGACTCGATCATTGCGTTTTAAAAGGATTGACCCAGGGACAGTAAGCCAGGTAGGTATGGAGACACCGTTGGCTGATCGTCGTGTGAACGGCATGAAACGTTCGTGTGGGGTACAGTTGATACTAGTACATAACAGGGATCTGATACAGTGGAGAGCATCAAGGAGGACAACTTCCCAATGTATGACAGGCAAGCCGCACGATTTTAGAGCCAGGGTACCATTAAGTCGTTCAACCTGACCATTACATTGTGGATTATATGCAGCGGTGTGACTACTGGCAACGCCTTTATCGAACAAAAATTGTTTAAGTTCAGTTGACATGAATGCAGAACCGCGATCTGAGTGAATAAAAGCAGGCATACCAAACAGTGAAAACAGTTGATTCATACAACGAATTACAGTGGAAGAGGATGTATCGGCGCAGGGATAAGCAAAAGGGAATCGAGAATACTTGTCAATGATTCTTAAGAGGTACTTATTCAGTTGACTCAAACAACGAATTACAGTGGAAGAGGACGTATCGGCGCAGGGATAAGCAAAAGGGAATCGAGAATACTCGTCAACGATTGTTAAGAGGTACTTATTACGAGTGTTTGAGGGAAGTGGGCCTTTAAAGTCGATACTAAGGCGTTCGAACGGTTGTGTGGCTTTGATAAGCTGGCCACGAAAGGTGTCACAAAATTTTGGTTTGAGCTCGGAGCATGTGGAACAGTTGGACACCACACGTCGGATATCGCTGACTGAAAAAGGAAGGTTCTTAGAACGAACAAAATGTGCAAATCTCGTGACCCCGGGATGGCATAATATGTTGTGAAGCTCTTCAAGTTTTTCCGTCCCAGCAATGTTGGCACAAAGGTTACGAGATAGGGTATCAGCAACGCGGTTATCTGTTCCAGGTCTATAGACGACGTCGTAGTTATACCCTGCCAACTTGATTTTCCACCGATCAATCTTGTCGTTCTTTATTTTACTTTTCTGTTGGTTCCCATACATAAAGGCGACCGAACGTTGATCCGTAATCAATTTAAAATGTCTCCCGAGGAGATAGTGGCGCTATTTGCAGATCGCTTCGACCATAGCATATGCTTCTTTCTCAACAGCAGAATGATTTCTCTCGCTTGCAGTCAAGGTTCTGGAGAAAAAGGCGACCGGCTGGCTACCCTGACTCAGGGATGCACCAATGGTGATGTCGGACGCATCAGTTTCAACAACGAGAGGAATATTGTAGTCGACAGTAACCACCATCGCATTTTCTAGTTCGTGTTTAAGGTTCTCAAATGCTGTTCGGGCATTCTCCGGAAGCGGAAATATTTTGTTTTTAACCAATGGATGGATTTTATCAGAAAATGCCGGTACCCACTGTGAATAGTAGGCAAACAAACCAACGGCTCTTTGCTGCGATTTCCCGTTCTCTGGAAGTGGGAGTTCTCTTATGGGGCGCATGCGTTCTGGGTCAGGTCTTATAATACCTTTGGAGACCTTGTAACCTAAGAGAGTAATCTCTTCAGTTGCGAAGCTGCTTTTCGTATCGTTCAAAGTAATATTGTATGTTTTTGCGACATCGAGAAAATGCCTAAGATTACGGTCATGTTCATCTCTCGTTTTGCCGCATATAATGACGTTATCGATATAAGCGAATGTGTCTTTTACCTGTTCGACTTTGATTATATTGTTCAGCGTTCGCTGAAAACACGCGACCCCGTTTGTCACTCCAAAAGGAATGCGCCGAAACTGGTATAGGTTCCCCCCAGCTTCGAACGCTGTGAATGGCTTGTCTGACTCGACTATTGGAACCTGATGATATGCACTCTGGAGATCCAGTGTGCTGTAGACGGTGTAGCGTGCGATGGTTTCAATCATTTGGTCGAGCCTTGGTAAAGGATAAGCGTCAAGGTAGGTGAAGCGATTGATTGTCTGGCTGTAGTCTATCACCATGCGTCTCTTGTGATTTGCATTGCGGGTAACGAGCACTTGTGCTCTCCACGGAGAATTTGATGGTTCGATTATGCCATCGGTAAGCATTTGGTCTACTTCCGTTTGTATGAATTGTTCATCTTCCGGTGTATGACGACGAGATTTTGTGGCGATCGGTTTGTAATTTGGAGCAAGATTGGTGAATAAGGATGGAGATTCCAGTTTTGCGGATGTTATGCCACATACAATTAGGGTACCCCGTTGACCACCGAATGGAATTTCATGTAACCCCAGAAAGTCATGTCCGAGAAGGACGTCTGCACAAAGGTTCGGTAATACACAAAGTCTGAAACGTTCGTATATAGCATGCTTGTACTGAATGGACACGAGGCAATAGCCTTTGGTGGAGCATGAATATATCGTCGACGCCATTGTTATCACAGAGTCGTACGGAAATAGCTCCCAGTTATGAGTTTGCAGGATTGATGAAGAAACGAAACTTCTGGAGCTGCCGGTATCAATGAGAGCTCAGACAACAACGCCGTTGACCAAAATATCTGTTGTAGTTTTGGATAGGCAATTGGGAGCAGCAGCACAAAATAGCGAGGAGATTGAGGAGTCTTGAGCTGAACCCGCGTGACATTTCGAGGCTTTGGACCTACAGACACGTTGAAAATGTCCGATTTTTCCACAACTCTTGCACACTGATTCTTTAGCGGGACACTTATAACGAGGGTGCTTGGGGTTGCCACAAAAGTAACATGTTTGTTGTGTAGCGGC